AGCTTTTATATTTCATTTCTTTCAATCATTAAAAGTTCTTTTTACTTTATGTGTAATGCCAAAGATGAAGCAACATAAATAATAAAACAATCAGTTAATTTTACATTTATTTTCTTTCAATCATAAAATTATTTTTAATGACCACTGAAAGAGTAATGACTCACTTTGACTTTTAAGAGACCACTGAAAAACTCATTTGTTCATGTTCTTTCTCCTAAATTTGCCTCTATTCATTAAAGCTACGTATGTTAGAATTTTATTTCCATACAACACTCTAACATATAATTCATTAATTTAACTATTTTTCCCAATAATATTTTAATAAAATACTTATACATAACATTCATATATTATACTTAATGACATTTAATTAAAACCACAAACATAAGAGTGAAATCTACAAATGCTTTTATCCCACTAAGTGGGGTTGGCTACATGAATCATTTTTCTCCATTGCGTCTTATTGAGTGTCATATTTTTCGTTTAATTCTAAAAGATTAAGATAATTTTTTATACAATATTCCAAAGTCTTTGTAGATTTCTTAACATAAGTTGAATTTAAAGCATCTACTCTCCTTACTGGATCATCAGATGGTTGACATTTAATGTGCCCAAACCACCAAAGACGACTCTCTCTAATCTTGTCCGCCTACACCAACCTATCACGGATATATTCATCTCGTATTTTGTCTCTAAGTGTCAAACCACCAATCCACCTAAGCATTCTCATCTCAATAAAACTTAACTTTGTTTTATGTTGCTATTTTAAAGAACAACATTCTGCGCCATAGAGCACTGCAGGAAATAAAAGATTTTAAAGATGTAAGATAAAAAAAAAACGGCCGACATTGCTTTCAACTTATAATCGAATGCATTCCTCCACTTCAACCAACCAACTAGAATTCTACTAATAACAACCCCATCTATATCACCTCGAATAATATACCCGAGATATCTAAAACATTCATACATTTTAATGATTTGATCCCCCAAATTTATAACTTTGTCACTAGAGCTACTACTACTAAAATTACATTCCATGTATTCAGTTTTAGATCTACTCAAACGAATACTATTAGTCTCCAATGCAGACCTCCATAATTTAATTTTTTCTAACTCTTTCTCTAGTCTTATCCAGAAAAAGGATGTCATCAACAAAAAGTATATACCAAGGTACATCCTCCTGCAAATGACCAGTAAGAGCAACTATAACTAAAGCAAAAAGATTTGGACCTAAAGCCAATCCCTGATGTAATCAATTGAAATAAGAAAATACATGGTTAATCCTCCTTCTGTTGGAACACAAGTAATAGCTCTAGTATACATATCTTCAATGACTTGAATATAATTCATATCTCTCCAAAAGACTTCTCTTGGAACCTAATTGTAAGCTTTTTCTAAATCAATAAAAATCATATGTAGATCCCCCTTACTTTCTCTCTATACTTCTCCATCAATGCTCTCAATAAATGTATAGTTTTCATAGTAGACCTGCCCGACATAAATCGAAACTGATTATGAGAAATCT